TATACCTACAACAGCACCTACACCTACTGAGCACCTGGCACAATCTAGTCTCTAAAGGTACAGCAGTGAGGATAATGGATCCAGTCCTTACACTCATGGAGCTTACAGGATATTCAAAAATATTCACACAAATGCAAATTTACCAAAAAAATGCAAATTTACAACTGTGATAAGAGCTGCACAAGAGAACAAATATAGGAAAACCTATCCTAGGGGGACTTGATCCAACTGGAATGACTGGAAGGCTTCCCAAGGAAGTGATGACTGAGCTGAGAGCTGAGAACAAGAAGTTAAGCAGATGAGCGGGAATGGGGGGAATGGATGGGAAGAATCTGTGTACAAGAAACAGCAATGTGCAATTTATGTATTGTAAAGCAGCAGGGAGAATTCAAGAAATGAAGGAAGGTCAGTGTGGCTCAAACTCAGAGAGAGTGGGAACATGGGCCAGGCCATGTTAAGAGCTTTGATCTTTTTTTTTTTTTTTTAAAGATTTTATTTACTTATTTGAGAGAGTGAGATAGAGCACAAGTAGGGAAAGGAGCAGCGGGAGAGGGACAAGCAGATTCCAGGCACCCCAGGACTTTGATCTTTATACTAGAGGCAGTGGGAAGTCATTAAAGGGCTTTAGCAGGTATGTTCACTTTTATCTGTGTGAGACACAGCCAGATTTGAGTTCTGAAAAGATCACTCTGGCTGTGGTGTAAAGTCTTAACTTACAGGAAGTCAAGACTGGAAACGGGGAGAATTTAGCAGGTTATTGTCCAGAAGGAAGGAATAATTGTAACATAGATCAGGGAGATGGTAGAGATGATGCAAAAAGGATGGATTCTAGAGATGGATTAAGAAGGTAAAGTTACAGGATTTGGAAAGGAATTAGATGTATGGTCAAGGAAAGGCCACTGTTGCCTTGGGCCACCTGATGGAGAGTGGTACTAGTCACTGTTGTACAGAATATTTAGTCATTTATGAACGTTTTCTGAATGTCTGCTCTGCCAGGTGCCACGCTGGCAATACTGGAGAATGACTGGGTTTCCAGGAGGTGAATGGGATTTAAGATGCCTGTGAGATAGCCAAGTAGAGATGCAAGGTGCCCTCAAAACTTTTCTCTTTCTGTGAGCCCCACAAGACTTCATACATTCTTTAGCTAGAAACGTAAGCTCCTGAAGGAAGGAGGTTTTCTTTGTCTTTTGTCAATTGCTAAGTATATTACAGTTCCTAAGGTTTTGGGCACCTAGTACAACTTCCTGGTTGTATAAAGGAATAAATCTCTTTCATCTCTTGCCTCGGACGGGCCCCCTCTTATGTTCTTATGGCCCAAGGGGGGCAGTGGTATTCATTAGATCTAATGCCTCCCAAACCTGTCACAAGAATGGGTCCCCATGAGTAGGTATGATGGTTCTGATGGTGGTAGTCGTGTTCCAAGGATCTATGCTTAGAACCAAGAACTTCGTGGCCTAAACTTCATAAACGAAAGTAAAACGTTAACCTTATTTTCCGTATTTCAAATCGGCTTTGACATTCTTGATGCATTTCTCCCCCAAATCAAAAAACCTTTTGAGGTACAACCAAGGCTTAAATGAAGCCATTCCTATATTTTAAGCAGGGCAGTGTGGGTGCAAGACACCAGGGCAGCGGTCGCTGTGGGGTTCCGAAGCCACAGCCATCTGGGAGGTCTGGCGAGGTCTGCACCACCCTCCGGGGAAAGGCCCCGAGGCGCACTCACTGGACACGTCCCGAGCAGCGGCCGGGCACTGGCTCAGGGCCTGCGACGCGAGGGTGTCGAGTTCCTCCAGGTCGTCGGCAGTGAAATCCCCGTGCGCGCCGAACGGGTCTTCGGGGTCCGGGACCGCGGCCGCGGGGAAGCCCCGGGCTCGCTTGCTCGGAGGGTGCCCGATGCTGGGCGGAGGGCCAGGGCTAGGCGCCGGGAGCCCGCTCCGCCTCCTGCTGCCCGGCGCGGGGGCTCCAGCCATGCCTCCGGCGGCCAGTCTCCGAGGGCACCGAGCAAGGCCTGGTCGCCGCGAGGCCGGATCGCCGGACCAACCGCCCGCGCGCCGCCACTCGCCTCAGCCGGTAGGGCCACGCCCCCCGAGCCCACGGGCCAATCGGCTGCCAGCCAGCGGGCGCGGAAGGATGACCTAATCCGAACGCGTCGCCGTGCTCTGCGGGGTGCGGGCCTTTCTCGGTGGCGCCCTGCCCCCCAGCCCAGCTCTACTGGGCGCTCTGGTACCCGTGGCAGGGTCTCCGTGGGTCTCCGGCGGGATGTGTGCTGCGCGATCCGCGTTACCAGGGTGCGGGGCCGAGCCTTACCAGCCTTACAGCGCGAGTGGCTCTGCGCCCCCTCTCTGCAGCCGCGCTGGAGTCCGCCCTGACATTCACACGCACACCTGTGAATCGTGACAGGCAGCGTTCAGGGGTTTGGTCTCTGCGACTTCGCCGTTTTCCTCCCGCCGGACTCACCTCTCACATACCCAGAGGTCCTCTTGAGGAGTCTGGGAGAGTGGGGTTGGGCGAAGAGTATGAATACAGCTTTTGTGAGGAGGTGTCTTAGAGTTAATGTTTTGAGTGTGTGCATTTGAGATAGGTCTGGAGAAGAAAGGTCTACGGAAGAGGGGTGATTCTGAGAAGGGTGTGCCTGTGTTGGAGAGTGTGGGAACTAACTGTTCAGGCTGTTGGCATTCATTCCTCTGAGCGCCTGAGTGGTTTTGTCCCAAGCACAGGTCATAAATGAATGAGGAGGCCAGGAGGTCAAGAAAGGCCCCTTGAAAGTGGCACCTGGGCTGTCCTCCAGGTTGAGTGGGAGTTACTGAGTTAGCAAGGAGGCTAGCATACTCTAGTTTACTCAGACGAGAATACAACACCGACATGGGGGCCACCCAAATGCCAGGTAGTAGTTATCTGTGGCAAGGAGAGAAGGTAAGGCTTCAAAGGGGAGCAGGACTTGGGCACCTGACAGGATTTTATTGGGCAGCAGTAGTATGCAGGACAGTTAGCAGGAACAGGGTGTTAGAGAGTAACAGAGTTAAGACTCCACCCTTGTACACTCAGTGCCAAACTTAGCTTGTAAGTGTCCTATGAATGTTTATGGAAACAGTAAATGAAAGGGAGATGGTTGTCAGAGTGTAAAAGGTCTTGAATACCTGAGTTTAGTTTTTGGGACAACTAGTAGGGTCCCTCAGTAGGCCCAAATGTTGGATGCTTAAGTCTTAATTTTTGCAGGTCTCTGGTCTTGTAAAGATAGGATTATACTTCATTTGTCAGAGAGGATTAGGTTCCACCAAATAAAATAGTAGACAATTCTCAGGGCAGTGTACTGGCACTGGATCTTGGGAGTTGTTCTCAGCCCAACAGGGAATGCCAGAAGTCCAAAGTGTGCTGGCTGTGCAACTTTCCAGGAGAGGACCAAAGAGGCGCCCCCCCCAACTAATGTCAAATACCTTAGTCATAAAACAGGCTTCAATCTATAAAAACCTTTTCTAGTTTTGACTTAGCAAAATCTGACTAGTTCTAGAGCCCTTCTTGAAAACACATGATCAGAGAAAGCTTAGCATTATTAGCATAATTTCCAGTGATATCAAGGGCCTGGAGGGGAAACTGACTTGTGCCTCTGAATTGTTCCAATATATATGCACTTAGCCTCTGCCTCCTCCAGTTTACTCCTCCTGGAGTCAAAGATGATCAACAAATATAAACAGAAAAAAATCAAAAAGGGTAACAGACAACTGGGACTACCACTTTATATATACAGTGGTAAGGGAAGAGCTCACTACTGTAATGTTTGAATGCTTCTAAAGGGAGGTAGTCTCCAGTATAGAGAAGTGACAGAAGACAGAATTGGTAAAAACAGTGAGTCAGCTTGCTTGCAATGTAGACCATTGTGGCTCAAGATGATCAGGGGATGAATGGTATCAGAAGGTAGAGAGTGGCATCCAGATCCCTTAAGGCCTGACAGGTCATTGTGAGGACTCTTACTTTTGCCCTAAGAAGCCACTAAATTCTGAGCGAAGAAGAGACAAAGTATAACTTTGTGGTTTAGCAAGGACACTCTGCATCCCGAGTGAAGGTTAGACTGTAGGGGAGCAAGGGTAGGGGGCAGGAAGACAAATGTGGATGTGATTGCAATAACCTGGGTGAGGGATTTTAGGTCAGAATGGCGGAGGGGTGTGTGGGGGTGATACTGGAGAAGTATGCAGAGGCCAGATTTAATTTTGCTGATGGGTCAAATGTGGGGTTTAAGACATGGGAACCTAGCAAGGACCTTTCTGAAACCCTAGTATAAATGCAGACCTGGAGGTTTCATTTATTTATTTATTTATTTTTTAAAGATTTTTTATTTATTTGAGAGAGAATGAGATAGAGAGCGAGCATGAGAGGGGAGAGGGTCAGAGGGAGAAGCAGACTCCCTGCTGAGCAGGGAGCCCGATGCGGGACGCGATCCCAGGACTCCAGGAGCATGACCTGAGTTGAAGGCAGTCGCTTAACCAACTGAGCCACCCAGGCGCCCCCAGACCTGGAGGTTTCAGAGTAAGCTTGGTTCTTAGAAACTTTCAGGAATCTTTCTCCTTTTCCCAGTTTTATTCCCTTTATAATGCATATTGTATGTGTTAGTGTTGCTCCTCTCCCATAACAGAAATTCCGACAACAGGAATTGCTCTTTGGTACACGTGCAGCATGCACTTAGTGAACTCCTGACATGAAAGATGAATAATTCCATTACAACAAATGGCCATGTGGACGTCCTCATAGAAAGAGACCTTTTTTTCCTCCTCCAAAGTACAAATTCTTCCATTAACCTCATGTAATGTATTCCATTGGGTATACAATGTTACAAAAACAATAGCCATTTCAAATGAATTGGTTTAATTCCAGGTGACACAGAGTTCAGGATTGAACAAAGACTGAAGAGCACACATTGGCAGGATTCTGGGCTAGGTTCACTCTGACCTCACAACTAAGGTAGTGGTGACTGAGTAACAAGAAATAAAGAGAATATGAGCCACTGTATGATTATTTTATTTTTTTTTTACAAAAGTTTATTCTTAAATGTACAACAGGATCTAAGACAACACTTCATTCCAGCTATAGGTAGCAACAGATGCTATGACAGGGAATCCAGATGTTTAAACAGGAATGGAATTAAGGATCATCATTGCCTCGGGCACAAGGAACAGCTTACTTTTTGCCAGATTTCTTAATTCCACCTGTGGCTGCAAAAGGGAAAAAAAATGTCTCAGCTAAGGAAAATTAGTACTTGGATGGGAAAAATATATTCCTTACGGTTGAAGTGCCAGGGGCCTGATATGGATCCTAAAAAGGCTCAGCTCTTGTGCGGGGCATTCTTTTTTGATACAAGCATGCACAGGGCTTTACCAACAGTCTAAGCTGGGTAGTATTTGAATTAGCAATAATCGCGCCTCGGATAAACCTCATTGGCTACGATACTGCCACTGTGCAAAGCTAAGCTGGGTAATATTTGAATGAAGATGAGGCAGGAGCATGAATAACGGCTGTGCACTGGCCTAGATCTACACTGTTGAGTATTTCACACACTGGTTTGTTTAATCCTCATCTCCCATCAACTCATTTTCCAGATAATGAAATCTTAGTGAGGTGTTGTTCAAAGATATAAGATGGTCTGCGACAAAGCCAAGATTCCACCTTGGGTAGTCTGATGTCCAAGTCCATACTCTCAACTGCCACATCACGCATTGCTACTACATTATGATCCTGGGGTGTGGTTTATTCAATATCTTTATTCAATTTACATTTGACCATGTATTTGGCACACAGTAGATACTTAAGAAACAGTTACAAAATTAAATATGCCCAATGCAGTAATAAAGATCCTAAAAGTCTGACAAAATGAACCTTTAAAAAATGAGGTCTTCAATGAAAAACAAGTAGTGTAAGATTTCACTAAAGACTGACCTTGTCCCTATGCACAATCACAGATTAAAGAAAGGTACAAAATACCTCATGATCCAAAAGGGAATCTCAATAACTAGAATCTCAGCACTGTGAATCAAATCAAACCCACTGGGATAGAAGCCTTGGGAAGCCCTGGATGACACTCCCACCATTCTAGCCTCCACCAGCCCCAGCGTGGCTCACAGTGATCCCATAGGTCACAAATAACTATAGAAGAAATTGTTCACTGGTTTGAGGAACGTAAACAGCATTTAAGAAGCACAGAAAAATATTTGGGCTGTTGGGCTTGAAAGATCTTTTGATACGTAAGCAATTCTTTCTACATAAAGAGGCAGAATAGAGGGGCGCCTGGGTGGCTCAGTCATTAAGCGTCTGCCTTCAGCTCAGGTCATGGTCCCAGGGTCCTGGGATCGAGTCCCGCATTGGGGTCCCTGCTCAGCAGAAGCCTGCTTCTCCCTCCCCCACTCTCCCTGCTTGTGTTCCCTCTCTTGCTGTGTCTCTCTCTGTCAAATAAACAAATAAAATCTTTTAAAAAAAATTCTCCCTAAAAAAAGAGGCAGAATAGTGGGGGGATTAGGTTAAAAGACCATATAGCGCAATAACACATTAAAGAACCTGGACTCTATCTTTAGGCACACCCAGAAGCGAAGACTCAGGATGCAAAAGAATTTACTGGAATTAACAATATGAGCGGTTAAGAAATGTTATAAGCAAAAAATTGGTGAAATACGAATTTGGGGCAAGAAATAGCGGACAATATTTGGAAACTCAACTCTACGAATTTTTGTCTAGAATATATGAATTTTGGTGTTTCCATTTCTGCCGCTTCCCTAAAGAAGGGAAGACCAGACTGCCTGGGAGAAAAGAGATTTCATTTCCAAAGCTGGTCTGGCTCCCTCCCCTTCCCGCTGCTGCGAATCCAAGCCTGGCGGGGGACGTCCGCCGTAGCGAACGCGAGGACCTCACCAATGAGGCAGGAAATGGACCAGACTGATGCTCAGAGTGTTTAACCGGCTTGAGCTCTCTCTACTCGGCCTTCACTTACCCAGGGGGCCCTTCCCCGCAGCCTTCGCTTTTAGCTCCTCGAGTTTCTTCTGCTCCTCTTTCTGTTTCTGCTTGAATGCCTTATCTTCCTAGGGAGAGGCAGACGGGGTTCACGCCAGGCAAATTTCCCAGACCCTCCGCACCCGCCCGCGCCTCCGCGCTCGCCCTCACCTCGTCCATCTCCTTGGCCTGCTTCTTGGGCTGCTTCAGGGGCTTCTTCTTGCCACCTGTGAGCGACACAATCATGCTCAGTTCAGTCCCCGCCGAGTCCTGTCCCTCTCCGCCCGGCCACCCCGGCACACTCACCTTCGCGGCCGGACATGGCGCCTGCCGCCCCTTCCCCAGACCCTGCCGCCGGAAGCGGAGCTCTCTTTCCCACCCCCTGCGCCTATATTTCCACGCGGTCCCTCTGATTGGCTCCTAGTCAGGAAGTTGCGCTCCCGCTGCCGGAAGCAACTCTGGGGGCGGGCGTTAAAGGGTCAGAGATCTACTGAGTGGCGGGCCCTCTCTTTGGGTTGCAGTTCCCGCACTGGGGCGTCAGGTACGAGGTGGGGGTTGGCTTGCCGGGGGAGGGTCCGGAAACCAGGAGGGGTGTTTAACCGGAAGGCGCTAGGCCTGGGACCGTGCATGGGAAAAGCACTGAGGGTAGAACGAAGGGCGCGTGCCGAGGCCTTGAAGTTCAGCGCGTTCCTGGAACCGAGGAAAGCACGCATGGGTGGAGGGAGATAGGAGGGAGGTGACAGAAATATGGACGGGGGCTAGATCACCTGGTCCTAAAGTTTTGGAGGCCACCGAAGGAGTTTGGATTTTATAATAGAGCCGGGGTATGACTTTTTGCAAATTATGTTTATTCATTTAATACATTTTTGTTGAGTATGTAGTATATGTAGATGGTATTATAGGCACTGAGGATGCAGCAGTGAACAAAACAATGCCTATCCTAGCAGAGCTGACATTCTAGTGGGTGAGACAGCCCATAAGCAAAGTAAATAAGTGAATTACATATCGCAGGTCATGTGATAAGTGCGTGGAGAAAAATAAAGCAGACAAAGTGGGTAGAGTGCTGGGATGAGAGTGCATGGCAATGACATTTGAGCAGGACTTGGAAAAGAGAAGGGAGCAAGCAGTGCAGATAGCAAGCCGCTGGGGTGGGGATAGCCTAGTGTGTTCCAGCAACATCAAGAAAGTGCATGCATGGTAATTACCTGAACGATGTGTTAGCTAACCTTATTGTGGTACACGTTTAGCGAATATATACCTCTATCAAGTGTATCAAATTATCACGTGTGTATCTTACACTTACACAGTGATATATATCATTTATACATCAATAAAGCTGGGGGGGGGCGGGAATAAGGTCCATATGATTGGAGCAGAGTGAGAAGAATGAGAGCCAGGAGGTGGATGTCCTGTAGACCATGGAAAGAATTTTGGCTTTTACATTGAGAGAAATGAGGAACCACAGGAGAGTTTGAGCAGGGAGCGACATGGTTGGCCTGTGTTTTGAAAGGACCACTGGCTGCTCTGTTGACCAGAGACTGTAGGGGCTAGAGGAGAAGTGGGGAGACATTGTTAGTCACTGGGACAAGGTGGTGGCAGTGGCAAGGATAAGAGGAGGAGGGATTTTGGCTTTAGAAAGGAAGTAGCATTTGCTGATGGATTGGATATGAGATGGGAGAGAAGGATGTCGGGTGATTTGAGGGTTTTCGTCTGATTTGGACTTGAAATTTCCATCACCAAGATGGAGAAGGCTGTGGAAAAGGCAAGTTGGGAAGGGAAGTTAAGATCTCCATTAATCTTCTAAGCAGAGATGTGGATTGAGCAGTTGGGTAAATGAGCCTGGAATCTACAGGAGAGGTCTGGGCTGGAAAAATCAGAGTATAGTTGATAGTTTTTTTTTTAATTTTAATTTTATGTTTTAAAGATTTTATTTATTTGAGAGAGAGAGAATGAGAGAGAGAGAAAGCACGTGGGGGGGGGAGGGTCAGAGGGAGAAGCAGACTCCCTGCCGAGCAGGGAGCCTGATGCGGGACTCGATCCCGGGACTCCAGGATCATGACCTGAGCCGAAGGCAGTCGCTTAACCAACTGAGCCACCCAGGGGCTAGTTGATAGTTTTTTAAAGTAATGGTTTTGGGGGGTGTGGAGGGTAGTGGCACTTGGCTGGCTCAGTCAATGGAATGTGTGACTTGGTCTCAGGGTCGTGAGTTTGAGCCCCAGGTTGGGTGTAGAGATTACTTTTAAAAAAAGGTAATAGTTTTATTGAGATACAATTTATATATCATACAACTCACTTATTTAATGTGTACAATTCAGTGGTCTTAGTATATTCTCAGTGTTGTTCAACCATCACTATAATTAATTGTATAATATTCCAGTAGATGGCTTTTAAAGCCATGAGACTGAATGAGAGTGGAGTCCAAGGACCTTGCCCTGCAGCACTCTCTGTGGAGAGGTTCAAGAGATGAGTGGGGCCAAGCGTAGAAGGCGTTTCAAGGAGGAGGAAGGTAGCATGAGCCCCAGGCTGCTGATAGGCTGAGTAACAGGAGGACTGAGATCTGATCACTGGATTTAGCAACGTGGAAACGACCTGGACCAGAGCATTTCCGGTGGCTGGTGGTTGCAAGGGCCGGATCAGAGAGGGTTTGAGAAAGGATGGGAGAAGAGGAACTGGAGACAGCAAGTACTGACAATCTGTCAAGGAGTTTGGCTGTACAGAGGGGCAGAGAAGTGGGGCTGTTGCTGGAGGGATGTCTGATCAGTTAGTGAGCAGTGTCAGGTGGGGAGAGCTCATGAGACCTGGAGCACAGCTTGATCTTCCTAGAGCATGAATTCTTAATCTGGAAGAGCAAGAGAGAAGGTGGAAACTGGACAGACACTGGCAGGTGGGAAGGTATGGTAGGAGTTTAGAGAAGTTGTCTTCCAATTTTTTAAAATATTTTCTGAGTGAAAAATGAAGCAAGCCATCGGCTGTGAGTGAGGAAGAGGTACAGGTGATGGAGGTTCGTGGGATGGGCAGTTGGTAGGAGATGGTCGTCTGGATAGAATGGGAGAATGGATTTGGAGGGGCAAGGTTCTGAACGTGGCCCTCAAGACCCTCCTTAATGTGGCCTCTGTTTACCTCTTCAGCCTTTCCTCTGCCCACTCTCCTTTCCTCTGCTGTTTTCCAGCGGCACCGGCTGCCTGTCAGGTTTTAGATGACCCCAAGTGCATCTCCACTTTGCCCCCTCTGCCAGGAACACCTTCCCTGTGCTGACTGAGGGCCTGTGAGATGTTTGAATGGGGAGGGGCTCAGAGTCAGGCCGGAGTTGGGGCTGGGTGGGCGAGAGGAGGGACTGGAATAGAGGAACAACTTGAGTCATTTCCTCACAACAAAGTCTCTGCTGTCACCAAGCTTATGTTCTAGTGAGGGGCCTGGCAACATGTAAAGAAGGCAAATACGTGTCTGATGGAGACAAATAAAGCAGGTGGCCCAGGAGGGAATGGTCAAAGAAGGCCTTGCCATGAGGTGATACCTGAGCCAAGACGTAGACATCAGGGTGAGCCAACTGGAGCTGCGGAGGAAGCAGCAGGGTTGGGTTTCGTGTGTTTGGGTACCCGTAGCGGAGGACAGGGACAGAGAGGAGGAAGGGGGTGACAGTCAAGAGGACCGGGGCTTGTTGGCCACTGGTGGGACTGGTGTTCATGGCAAGTGAGATGGGAGCTGTCGGGGTGGGGGGGCTGGTTTGAACCAAGGGAAGTGAAATGATGAGTTAATAGAGCCTCAGGTTGTGAAGAACGGCTCTGCGCGGCAGGGAGGAAGCCAGGACGGTGCAGGATGGGTGACCCTCCTGGCTTCCAGGAGTGGGCGGCTGGTAGAGGAGGAGTTGGGAAAGGAGGCTGAGAGGGGGTAGTGAATTCAAAAAGACAGGGTGTTGAAAGCTGCAGAGATTTGGAGAAGAAATCTGAGAAGCGCCTGCTGAGTCCGGCAAGGTGGAAGTTTTGCGGGACCCCCAGGGGAGCAACGTCATGGTGGAGTGGGATCAGGATAGAATGGGGGCTGAGAACGTAGTGATAGCCAAGGTGGATGCTTTTCTGGTGAATGTTGCTGAAAAGGAGAGGGCTATACTTGGCGGGGCTGCAAGTCTGTGTGCTTTGCTTTGATGCAGGGTCCACCCGCAGGATTGTTGTGGGGTCATAGCTCAGTGCAGTGGGTGCAGGCATCGAGGCCTCGGAGGCTAGCTTGACCCCATGACCTTGTCATGGATGTTGTGTGCTTTCTTGGGCCTTAGGGATGGGGCCCAGGAGTTCAGGTGCAGCACCAGCTTGGAACCAGTGTCACAGGAATGTCCCCTTCTGTGGCTCTCAGCTCGGACCTGCTTTGGGCAGGAGGCATGTCCCTACCCAAGCAACTTTGTTTTCTAGAGGGCCTGAGCTTCTCTGAGCACAGCACAAGAGGGAGGAGGCTGGGATGGTCTGAGCCTGTCTCTGTTACAATCAGAAGCCCCTTTCTTCATCCCCTGAGTTCCTACAGTCTGTCTTCCTGTCCCCAGCTCCCACTGCTTTTCTCTCTGGCCTGGTTGTCCACTAGGTGTCACTCTGACAGCCAAAGTCAGTATTTGAGGGCCTGCGGGGGAGGGGGGCGCTGGCCAGGGGAGGGAGTGCTGGCCCAGGTGTGCGGGGAGCATGGGTCACCTGGCCCTCTCTTGGGGTCCTCAGTGTCCTCACTGCTCTTGGGTTCAGGCAAAGCCTGACTGGGTAATGGGAGCCTCCCTGTGCTGTTTAGGTAATGAGAAGTGGGTGTCATTGGGACCCAAGCATCAAAGCAAGGTTGAAAAGGGAAAGATTAAAGAAACCTAACCTGTAGGGCGCAACTGAGGCTGGAGAGGCGGGAGAAAGCTTACAGAAGGTGAGGATTGTGACATGGTACTGGGAGCCTGGACAGTCTGGGCTCGGAGCGCACAGGAGAAGGGCTTGTGTGAACCTAAGAAAAGCTGTCCTCTGTAAAGAGATCCAGGCTTTTTGTTTTGTTTCCTTTTTCTCCTGGAATTGTCTTCTCAGAGGACAGCTGAGGGGGGAGTTTTCTGCCTTGGGACGCACACGACCTATGTCCTCGAACATAAGCAAAACTTTGCGTCCCCAGTGCTGCGGCAGCCCTCGGAGTCCAGGCAGTTGGTTTTGATGGCCTTTTACAGAAATCTTTCCCTGAAATTCCCTCAGTTCCACAGTTTCCCGGGGAGGCTTTATGAACCTTTGTGGGGCTTTGTCAGCATGGGCACAACTCAGGTTTGAGAATTTTCTTTGGCATTATCAGAAAACCGGGCACCAGGATTCTCATCCGAGTCACAGCAGAGACCTGGGGGATGTGGGGAAGGTGGGTGGAATGGGAGGGTCTGGTGGCTTCGCGGAGGGAGGTGGAAGGCATGATCTCCTCAGTATGTTCTTCCCTGAGTTGTCTGGGAGTGCCCTCGGAAGCCTGACTGCAGTGGCTGCTGTCTCCGGGTACAACAGAGTAGCGCTCAGTTTGGACTTTTTCATGGACATTAGTTCAGAACTGTCCCTAGGCCCTAAAACCTGACTCCTGCCCAGCCGTTCTCAGCTGTGAGCTGATCTATCTTGCGTTCCCCCCGCCCCCAGATCTCCTGATGGCAGGACACCGCACCACATTTACCATGCAGCATGTCATGGGTATGCCCTGCGTGTTGGTGCGGAGCGGCCTCCTTGGAAGGGACCTCTTTATGATCAGGACTCTCTGCAGCCCAGGCCCTAGCCAGCCCAGAGAGAAAGGACCTGAGGATGTGGCCCTGGGGCTGTACCACCGCCTCACAGCTCTGGGAAGAGCCCTGGGGCACAACATTCGGCAGCGAGCGTCCTCCACGGCCACGACATGGTGGGACAGATATGAAGAGTTTGTCGGACTCAGTGAGGTTCGAGAGGCCCAGGGAAACGTGACTGAGGTGAGGAGGGGAGTCGGGGTGGTTGGCCCTGCCTTCTGACTCGGGAAATGTGGCCTGGAGGCTCCTGCCAAATAAATCACCAGCCACACACCACCAGCCATGCCCACATTTGCCTTTCCTTGAACAAATACTATTCATAGAGGGATTTGACTCATTTCTCACATGACAACCTGGGTTTGATAGTCCTGGGGTGAAGATCTCCATGTAACCATGCTCACCTACCCAAAAAACAGGTTTCTGTGTACCGATCAGTCCCCGGCCATTGACATCCATTGTGTTAGACCAGTGGACACTTCCTACGTGGGCCCTTTGGGGTCGGTGAGAGTGGTACAGCGTCCTCAAAGCCCTGTGTGGAATTAAAACAGCCCTGGTGAAGGTAGAGGCGCAGGGCCGGGGCAGCATCCTACACTGAGCTGGAAAGAGCTCAGCCTGTGGCTGTGAAGTCCTTGGTGGCAACAGAAACACATTCTGTCATCGCTGTTCCTGCTCCTGCCTAGCACAGACCGGGCTAGTGAGGTGACAAGAACCTGGGGTTCGGCAGGAGGTTTTGAGGCACCATGCTGTCCCCCCCTTGGAGGTCATGACCTTGGCTGAGCTGGCGTTTCTGGGTCTGTAACATGGAGGCCACAGCAATGCCTCTGATGGTATTGTTGTGAGGTGTAGCTAAGGTAACGTACGCGAACAGCTTAGGAACCTGGGTTCCTCTTTGTGGTTTGTATCAGACTAGAATTGCCTGGGTTTTGTGTACAGCATTAGCTATTTTCCAGTTTCTCAGGGGCACATTATTTCTACTTGAATGGATAAATCCGGGGATTCTAATGGGTGTGGCCAGGGTTGCACTTTGAGGACTGCTGGGTGAGCCAGGATTTTCTGTCTGAGGGGCTCCTTTTCCACCCTTTTGCACCAAGACCCCACTCACCTCAGCCATAGCCTTGTTGGGAATGGAGCTGAGCCTGTGTGGGTGTGGAGGGAAGGGCAGACAGCCTCCATCATTCTCTGCAGGCAGAGAAAGTGTTCATGGTGGCTCGAGGGCTTGTCCGAGAGGCTCGGGAGGACTTGGAAGTTCACCAGGCCAAGCTGAAGGAGGTGAGGGACCGCTTGGACCGCGTCTCCAGAGAGGATAACCAGTACCTAGAACTGGCTACGCTGGAGCACCGGATGCTGCAGGTAGGCACCTCGGGAGGCAGCCTTTCCTCACTGGGCAGGGACCCTAGTCTGGGCAGGTCAGGGAGGGGCAAGGTGAGAACCCTCACTGGTCTGTGGTCAGAGGTCTGGTGAGGGAGGTAAACCAGAAGGTACACTGGGCCCCAGGCTTCTGGAGCCTATCCACCCACTTCCTCCTGGAGTTCGACGTCCAAGGCAGTATAATCTGGGTCCCATGTTGCTGAGGAGGGAGCACCGTGGAGGAAGGACCGGCCCAGAGAGGACACATTCTGTAGTCATTATGTATGTCTGATCAGACCCAGCACTGCTTGGGTAGGAGGTAGTACGGCTCATCTTGACCGCCCCCCGCCATTCCTTTGCTCCCTGTCCCGACCGGGCTTACTCTGCCTTCACCCAACGGGTTTACAGAGCATGTGGTCTGTGCCAGGCTGAGGCTGAGCCCCAGGAGCGTCTGCTCGTGGCTACTGCTGCAGAGCCACGTTCCTGCTGTGTAACACAGCTTTGCTTCTGCAGGAGGAGAAGAGGCTTCGTGGAACCTATCTGCGTGCTGAAGACTCGGAGCGAGAGAAGTTCTCCCTCTTCTCTGCAGCTGTGCGGGAAAGTCACGAGAAGGAGCGCACTCGAGCTGAGAGGACCAAGAACTGGTCCCTCATTGGGTCAGTCCTGGGGGCCCTGATTGGTGTGGCTGGCTCCACCTATGTGAACCGTGTGCGGCTACAGGAGCTGAAGGCCTTGCTCTTAGAGGCACAGAAGGGGCCTGTGAGCCTCCAGGAGGCCATCCGAGAACAGGCATCCAACTACTCCCTCCAGCAGAGGGACCTCCACGACCTCATGGTGGACCTAAGGGGCCTGGTACAAGCTGGGCCCGGGCAGAGCTCTGTGGCCCAGGCAGGTGCTTCCCCCACCCGAGACAGAGATGCAGATGTCCTTTCAGCCACCTTGAAAGAGCAGCTCAGCCATTCCAGGCAGGTCCGTTCCTGTCTAGAGGGTTTACGAAAGCGGCTTGATGACTTGGAAAAGACTTTCAGCCAAACGGCTGAGTTGGTTCAGCTTGCAAAGGCTGCAGTGCATCCGGGCCTGGTGGAGCCAGCAGATGGGGCTCTGCCTGGCTCCTTGCTGGAGCAGGGGAGCATGATCCTGGCGCTGTCGGACATGGAGCGGAGGTTGGAAGCCCAGGCCAACAGGAACACCATCTGTAGCACGCTGGTCACCTCTGTGACATTGGTGGCCGCACTGCCTGTGCTCTACATGCTGTTCAGGGCCAGCTAGCCCCTGGAACCCCCTCCAGAGGCCCTGAGGGGATAGGTGTGGATATGGATTTAGTTAGGGAATCCCAACAATGAAGTGAGCCTTCGGGGTGCACGCAACCTCAACCTGAGGCTGAGCGCCGTCTGTGTGGCTCACCAGCAGGCATACTTTGCTCTTTAGAGAATGCTCATTTATGCTAATTATCAAAACTGTGTGCTAATGTCCAATTAAAATGTCTTTGGGTTTGTGTTATTTAAAGTAATTTACATTGCATGGAGTTTTTCTTGTTGAAGACAGATTGGGGATTCGAGGGTTGGGCCTGGAATTACGGTAATGATCGTTCCCTTTAGTTCCTCTCTCACCTCCTCCGATAGTTCCTCTCTCACCTCTTCTTGGTCTCCTCAGTTCAGGACCATGTTGGATGTACTTACCCTTAAGGCCTGGGTTTTTGTTTTGGATTGCCTGCCCTGGCCTCTTCTTGCCTGACCCTCCCCTGTCAGATATCCTGGGGGTTCCAGTGAGTGGAATCTAGCCTGTGCACCCACTGTTGACCATGGTTACTGCCCTGTTTCTGGATTACTTTCTCTGCCAGGGTGGGGAGAACCTTCTGGTTCTAACACTGGAGGGATGATCAGAAGAGAGCAGGGAAGAGGGGTCAGGGGAATGGTTGATAAATATTGCTGGGGACATAATTACAGAGATTGGTAGCCAGTCTGGGTCCCTGTGCAGAGAAAGCTTTGGGCAGCCCCATGTGCCCCTAGAGCTAGTTGTCCTCCCATACACAGCCTAGGGACAGCCTGTACCAGGAGGGGCAGAGCTCAGCCCATCAGCAGTGTGAACTAAATGGCAAGGATGGGGAGGGGCCTCCCAGAGGTAGGAGGTGCAGTGGGGGGCCCCAGGGATGGACTGCCTGGAAACTCCTGGCCTGTCCCTTTTCAGAGGAGAACAGCAACCTTTGACCTCCTGGGCTAACTGGACATGGGTGGCCTTGTGTGTCCTTGAGTAAACAGGAACAGCCAGGAGGTACTCTGTCCTCCCTGCAGGTCTGGAAAAGCCTCCCTTTCAGAGTGTGTGGAGGTATGTAGATCTGTGGGGAGGGGTTTCTGTGGGCTGGGACTTGTTTGCCTGGGCCTGTGTGGAGCCCACTTTCAGCAGGGGCCTGTGGAGCCAGTAGGGTTTCCTATGAGGTACCCTCCCTCCTCGAAGCCTGTGGTCAGGCTTGGGCCGTCAACACAGCCCAAGTGGCCCACGGGTTTTGTGAGCCTCTGAGCACCTGGTCCCTTGGTCATTTGGTCACTCCATTCGTGACCTTGTTTTGTGTCATGGTTTCTCAGGACGGCATGGGATGAAATGACCTCTGCTTGTGGGATATTCACCCTCCCCTGATGGGGAGGGTGATGGGGTAGGAGGTGCTGTATCTGTGTATAGATGAGGGGTGCTGTGGGGTTTGGAAGTCCCATGTCCCCTTTTGGGGTGAAGTAATTCCTAAAGTGTGCACTTAAGTGAATGGATTTGAGGAGGGGAGGATTCCAGGTATGTGGGAGCCCCCCTGCCCCAGGCTGCACAGGCAGGAAAGCCAAGGGGGCTGAGGTGGTGATAGGTGTGGAGGAGTGGTGGAGTGCAGGTTAGAAAATGAGGTGGAGGGCCTGGGGTCTGATGCTAGAGGCCAGGAATAAGGAAAATGGGAAGGGGGTGCCATGGTGGTACACGGACCCAGGTGCTAGAAGAGGGGGTAGAGGAAAGGGAGTGACCTGAGAAGTTGGTGAGAGAGAAATTGGAAGGCAGAGTTGGGTAGATGAGAGTGAAGGCAGACTCTTGACTGGGGGGAGGGAGTGGCAGGTGGCAAGAGTGCCTGTGGTGTTGGCTCTTTGGACAGTGGCCAGTGTGGTGACCTGGACCTTCTGGTTGAGGCTCTCCCTGGCCTGTGGAGGCTCTGGGGGCTTCCAGGGTGATATGTGTGACAAATTTTGCCTCCCAGGAGGCTATCCCTATGTGTCTTGAGCCAAAGTCCTAACAGGATGGGCCAGGTCCTGGCTCCTGAGTTCTCAGTGGGCAGGCCAGGCTGTGTGTGAAGGGCCCAGCAGAGGGCACAGCTGGTCCTCTGCCCAGCGATTCCTCCCTAGAAAGGCCCAGGTATTTTTGCCAGTGAGGGAGTCCAGACTTGCCCAAGGCTTCTCAGCTTAGGGTGGGTCCAGGTACAGGTCTGGGAGGAAAAGAAGTAAATGTGTCCTTGCTTGTGCACTTTGCAACCCGCGTGCGCTCAACTTTAACAGCCGGCTAGGTGTGGTGTCCCCTCCACTTGCCGGTGAGCAAATAGGCGTGTATGGGGCGTGGGGGTGGGGGTGGGGGCGGTCAGGTTACTAGGCTTAGTGGTGGCAGAAACCCAGGCCCAACCCCAAAGCCTGTGCTCCTCTCGCACAGCTAGAGGTTGGGGCCGGAAGGAGGGGGTGGCTGTTAGGGAGTCCGAAGAGTAGGGGCGGTGGGGAGAAACCAGGCGCCGAGAAGTTCAGGTAAAGAAAGTTGGAGGACGGCCACAGAAGGGAAGGAGGGAGCTCGCGGCGCTGGAGCGGGGGTGGTGGCTGGCGAGCCCGCGGGGCCGGTGAGGGGCGACGGAAGTGGCCGGGCGCGGTACCCGCACACCTGTGGGTGCGGAGCGCGTCCCCCCGCCCCGCCCCTCCCAAGAGGGCTCCTGATTCCGGTTCCTGAGCCGCGCGCAGGTGAGGCCCGGCGGGGTGGGGCCGGGCCGCCCGCGCTCAGGGCTCCGCTCCTCGCCCTCGGCTCGCCTGGCCGCGACCCGCGTTGCCGTGGCTACCGCCGCCGTGCAGCCTGCGCCCCCACAGGGAGGGGTAGAGTCCCCGCCCTCGGCAAGTGCGGAGCCCGTAGGGCTGGAATGCGGGGTCCCGGGCGGCTCGGGGCCGCGCGCCCGGCTCTCGCGGCTGCTTCCGGCCTGGCCTGGGCGGCGGGCGGGGGGAGGGCAGCCCGGCGGGCGCGGGGGGAAGGAGCGAAGCCCGGCCCGGCCGACGCGGCTTTGTCTCCTTTGTTCCCGGCGGTGGCAGCGGCGCGGCGGGAGGGGCGGGCAGCGGGCGCGCTTTTCTGCCCCTCGGTCTCCGGGTAACAGCTGCGGCGCCGCCGGAGCCACCTCCGGGGGGGTGGGGGCGGGGGGGCAGCGAGACCGCCGCGCGCAGATCCCGAGCCCGCAGCGGCAGGCGCCCGCCTCGGCGCGCTCCTCCCGCGGGGCCCGGCCGGGTGGTGAGTGCGGGGCCCGGGGCCCGGGCGGGGGGCCGGGGGTGGCGGTGCGGCCCCGGGCGGGGGGAGGTGGGCAGCTTCGGTCCTGATGCCGCCGGGCACGGGCAGCCCGGCGAGTGGTGGGCAGCTTCGGTCCTGAGAGTTGGGACCACACTTCACCGCACTGAGAGAAACTCTGGCGGCTCCGCCTGTAACGCGATTGGGAGACGGAGGAGGTGGAGCTGCTCCTCCGCGCCCCCTCCTCGCCGCCGCCTCAGCCGGGACCGGCCGGCCCCTTCCCCGCCCTCCCAGGACCACTGGTGGGGTCCTTGCCCTGCGGCCGAGGGAGGAGGGAGGAAGAGCCGATGGGGAGGTCGAGGCTTCCCCTCTGTATATAACAGCCTTTCCAGGCTACGCTCGGCAGCACTGACAAAGGCGGACTGTGAGCCCTGTGTTAGGCATCCCCAGAGGGGGACCCCCCACCTCCCGACACGACCCAGGCGGTGGGTGATTGATGAGCGCTCCTGAGCCCTCGCGGGTGGTGCAAAAATGGTGGGCCCCTCCACCCCACCTCCACACACAGACAACAGGGTGAACAATGTGCACTACAGCACTGTCAATGAATCTCCTCTCCTGGGTGGACCCTGGGAGCCAAGCAGGAGAAGGGGAAGGAAAGGCCAGTTTCCCACTGATCCCTGTGACTTGGTAGATGAGGGCTGGGGTCTCCAGGGGTGGAAGGGCAGTTTGTTAGCCCCTTTGGTGGGTGAGGACAGCCCCACAGCGGCCCGAGTTACTTTCTCTTTGCAAAAAGAAGTTAGGCAGCTGTGAGCTCTGCTGAAGCAGTCCAGAGAAAGGTGGGCCCAGAAGAGACCTCAAGGCAGGCCCGAGGCCCCAGTACAGGCAGAGTTAGGCTTTGCCTGTGAATTTGGATGAGGCCTGAGATCTGGTGATCCTGCAAGTTGAGGACACGAGGCCTGGCTCCAAACCAGCCTTTTCAGTCTGCTCTGGCCTGGTTAGTAATAAAAGTGGGCCTGACACCTTGCCCCTTTGAGAGGCCAAGTGGCCTGGAGAGGGGTGTGGGCCCCACATCTCCCCTACTGGCTGGATTTCCTTGGCTGTGAAATGGGGGTTCTTTCAACATGTAAGGAGCACTTGCTTTGTGCTGATGGCTGTCTTAGTTGCTGGGACCTCTGAATCAAAAGCCACACTCCTTGCTGCCAGGAGCTTCAAGTCTAGAATGGGGAGGGTGGAACAGAGAGAAAAGTGGCCTTGGTTGGTGCCACTCATGCCAGGCACACACCATTCCATATTTAATGGCCGGAGCAGTCCTGCCTCCCATTCTACAAACTGGAACTCTAAGGCTCAGCCGAAGGCAGAGCTGCCGTCCACACCAGGATGGTAGCTGGGTATGTCCATTCCATCTGCCACACGGAGCCTGGGGGAGACAGGGGAGGCTCTCCTGGGAGATGGTTGGGAGTCAGAGTTAAGCAGATGGAGAGGGAGTGGGCATTCCGAGCAGGGAGCAGTGTGAAGCAGCCCACAGTTAGACCAGCAGGAGCTAATAGCATCTGTGGGGGAGCCCTGGCATGCATTAGATGGAAGAGGGCGGGGACTTGAGGGCTTTGACCTTTATTCTTCAGGCCTGGGGCTGCTCCAAAGACAGGGGAGAGATACGCTCTGATTCTGCTTGAAGATCCTGGGAGGTAGGAGGGGCAGCCTGGAGGGGCTGGGGGCTGCTCTGGCCTGTGGCAGAGGTTAGGTGAATTTGAGTGCCCAGTAGGGAGGAGAGGTCACTGCCCCTCTTTTCCCCCTTCTCCACCTGCAGTACGTGGGGAAGGGTGAGGGTCCTGCTTCAGTGATTGAAGAGGCCCGTCACTTTTCCTTGAGTGGCTCAGCCTCCAGCCTCCTTTGTGGGCCTGGCCAGGAGCTATTCTGATCCCTTCCATTTTCCTGTGGGCCATTTGACCCAGTTGTGATTTTACATTTGGGGAGTGTCTTGGTTGCTGCCCCTTGAGGGCTGGAAAACCTTGGCACGCA